GTGAGCCCACTAGCCTAAATGACTTCGTCAACCCAATGAAGCCCAGTGACTTACAAATGAGGGCCCACCTGTTTCGATCACTATAAGACGTGAACAATGTGGGCCCATGGGCCCACATTTTAGAAAATGGTTATAAATAAGCCAGGCTAATGAAGCTTAGCGATTTATAAATGTGGTCCCTCCTGTTGCAATCACTATGACGGAAGAACGTCAACCTACTAGGCAATATACAAATGTGGGCCCACTTGTTTCGATCACCATATATGACGGGAACAATGTGGGCCCACATTCGAGAAAATGATTATCAATATTTAAGTAGACTTTCCTGATTAATAAATGTGGTCCCTCCTCTTGCAATCAATATGACGGAAGAACGTCTGCCCACATTAAGGAATTGATTATCAGAACTAATTAAACAACCTAACCAAGCTAGGCGATATACAAATGTGGGCCCACTTGTTTCAAACACCATATATGACGGGAAAAATGTGGGCCTACATTTTAGAACATGGTTATCAGCACTAAACCAATCTAAGAGGATGTACAGATGGAAACATAAATATATAATGCATTCAAACATTTAATTAAGAATACGTTTTACCTTAGGGATAAGCTGGGCATTTAATAGCTGGACCAACAACGTACAGCGTGACTGAAGCCATTTCTTGCAAATACGAAAACAAACGGAGATAGCTCCCGTTTGAAATTAGAGTGACCTCCCTTTCCCAATATGAACCACTGATAATGCGGTTTCACCGAATGTTGAAATCATGATATTCTCACAATGACTTTCGCTTGTCTGTCATACATGACTCAGATTTATTCCTAGTGATCCACACTCAAAAACAGCTAGAGTTTGCTGTCCCGTGGTGGGGCTGGGGTTCGACCCATCATTGCCACAAGTGACAAGCAATGCACTCATCAAAATCATCAATATCAAGCACGGGACAAAGAGTACTTTGCTATCTGTACACCATGGATTTGACTGTGTCTTGACTTGCTTGGTTGGGAGAAGCATCAAGAGAGATACCCATATTGATGGAGCACACAGAGACACCAGATACATCAAGAAAACAGAAAGGCAAAAGACCTGCAGAAACAGAAGCAGTTCATCACAGCTTCTTCAAGAATTACCGCAAACACTCCCTTCCTAATAAGGAACTTCAAATATATATATATCACCAATGTCCTCTAATGCTGAGGAATTGGGTAGTATTCAATTGACAATAAACTCTTTAAATGTATATAAAATGTAAGAATTACACCGTAACTAAAATGTACGAAGTATAAACATAACTTAACAACTAACAAGCACTGGGAGGGTGGAGCCTAACTGTCTCGCCTGCAGGTCGAAAACTGAGTGTCAGACAGGTGGTGTGCCCTTTCACGATGGCATGGGCATTGTGCAGAGCATGACCTAATGAGCAGTGGATAGGCTGCAGTTTGGTGGGTGTCGTGTTACTCATTATTTACCACATAACAGAAAATGTACTTTAATAAGAATTCCATATATGCTGAAGGCAGTGACATCACTACACACCAGCCACCCTTGAACCGTGACCAGGGAACCTATTGCTTTGATCATTGTCGGTGCTAATTATCTAGCTGGCTTCCATTTGTCCATTTCCATTTGATTACCTATCAGTGCTAATTACCCCGTCCTCCCGTTTGCCCATTGCCTATTACCAATCTGTGACAACCTGGCTCCCAGTTGTCCATCAATATCAACTATCAGCACTAATTTACTGTTAAGTGTTGGCTCCCATTTGTCCATTGCTAATCACCTATCAGCACCTATCATCTTTGGTATCTTATTACTTTTATTGTTCTTACAGGTACATACATATTGTTCTCGGAGTCATAGCATTTACTCACCCGATGAAGGAGTAAGTATATACTCTAAAATGTTGTGTTCCTTATAATAAAGAAGTTGACATCCATAAATTCTCTTCCTGATTTGTAACATTTCTGAAATTTTGGATGATGCTTCGAAACTATGAAAATCTTTGACCTTAATAGAGACCACCTTCTGAAGATCCATCAATTACCAAGTAACTGGCAATTACTGATGCAACCATGAGTAATAATAACATCAAAGATGACCTTGAACTCTGATAGTCAAAGGTCTAACATAACATGTGGTAGAACTTGTACAGATACAACACAATTACCTCAAAGGTAACATTGACTTTGACAAAAATGCATCTGATATTTGATATGGTAGCATTTCTTAAGAAACATGAAGTTCTATGTCTCAAGGGGAAACCATGCCTCATAACTGACAATGATATAACCATCTTTTACAAAAACCTGAATTCTAACCTCGACCTTGGACTCCTCTTGACCAAAAACCTTTTCAAAACAGGGCCACATCATAAAGAAGGTACATGCCAAATTTCTAATGATAATACTTTTTGAGAAAGTGTTACCACAATATCTTTTCAAAGCTTTTTCTATCTCATTATGTCCCAAAAGAATTCCCCAGGACCATTTGGAAGAAGTGCATGGAAGAGTAATATCTTAGGTCAATAATCTTTGTGTGGTAGTCATTGGAAAAACTAGAAAGGTGTTTGCATTACAAGCTGAAAAAGAAGCAGCCCCTTTTTTCTCATCAGAAACATACAACATGAACCAAATATTCCACAGCAGGTCACAATTGACCTCACACATGCCCAAGGCAATACAACTTTCAAACAGAAAATCACATGCCTCTAGCTACTGTAATAACTTCTTCCAGTTGAATAACATCATTTCCGGTGTTTGAAACCACATGTCTAATGCAAGACAAATTTGAAACAGAAAGTCCTTTGCTTCAAGATATGTTAACAACAAAATCATAAGCACTTCCTGTTTCATGATCTTCACCTTCAGTCGCAGCCATGAACTCCCTAGAGATCGTGTTTATAAAGTTATATCAAATTGCAATCATAAACGCTCAAGATATTGAGTACAAAAGCCTTTGACCTTCAACATAATCCAATCACCTTACTTGTTGCAACTTAGATGGCTTACAAATATGATGTCTTCATGATTTACTAACAATACTTTCTGAATGAAACTGTTCACAAGTCACTGCATGAATGAACGACAATCAAACTTTCAGTCAGGTCAGATATGCCAATGGATGACAGACAAGCAGGCAGGCCATGACTTGACTTTCAGTCAGGTTAGATATGCCAATGGATGACAGACAAGCAGGTAGGCCATGACTTGACTTTCAGTCAGGTTAGATATGCCAATGGATGACAGACAAGCAGGTAGGCCATGACTTGACTTTCAGTCAGGTTAGATATGCCAATGGATGACAGACAAGCAGGTAGGCCATGACTTGACTTTCAGTCAGGTTAGATATGCAAATGGATGACAGACAAGCAGGTAGGCCATGACTTGACTTTCAGTCAGGTTAGATATGCAAATGGATGACAGACAAGCAGGTAGGCCATGACTTGACTTTCAGTCAGGTTAGATATGCCAATGGATGACAGACAAGCAGGTAGGCCATGACTTGACTTTCAGTCAGGTTAGATATGCCAATGGATGACAGACAAGCAGGTAGGCCATGACTTGACTTTCAGTCAGGTTAGATATGCCAATGGATGACAGACAAGCAGGTAGGCCATGAGATAAAGATTGGTCCTTTATTATGGTATACTCAGTGCAAAAACAATCAGTGTGTGAGAAATCTTAAACCTTGGCTCCGTTGTTTGAAACTGGGGATGAATTGATGCTCAATGTATATTGAGCGAGTTTATAATGAGAAGTTAAACTGCTTTGTCGTTTTTTTCTCATATATTCTGAGTTCAAAATGTAGCATACAAGTATATTTTTATGTTGGGATTAATTCCAACAGCGTTTGGTATTAGCACGTCACTAATTATATTTTATGGTTTCATTATTAGGAAAACATAAAGTCAACATTATTAGCCAGAATAAATCTTCTTGCAGTTTATTACCAGATAAGTGTCACACTAACCACCCGGTTATGTATTAATATTATTATAAGGATCTATAGTAAGTCAAAGGTCAGTAATACATACATGTATCATGCGCGGCGCTATTTATAATAACTTTGATAAGGCAACTTCCCAGTATGCCTAGGTACGAGCATGCGCAGCAGCGCTTCAATGTCAGCCATCTTGTACACGTTTCGTCAACATTGACAAGCAATCCCACCTCCATCCCCCACTACCGTCCATGTTTATCCTTGTTTTACATTTATTTCAGGTTTCCGGATTCTCCCAGTTGTATTCAATTTTATTGTATTAGCCGTCATAACTGTGGGTATATTTACCCCTGCAGTCATTAGGATGGGATGCATTGGATTCCTGTTGTTAAAACACAGGTCATGCTTGACCTCCATGGTATTTAGCATCCAATGCGTTCTATCTGTAGTGTAGAATGATAGATGTGTAGTTAATTGTCGAAACCAGTTTGTATTCTATGTATCACTCTCGACAATTGATCCCAACAACTTGGGCCTGACCGATGCTGAGTCAGGTACACATAAGTCAAGTACATGTAGTCGATTCTCCTGTGTTTATACCCAATGCTTGGAAAGGTTGTCAGTTGTGCAAGGCGAATCGATCCCTTGCTGGGCATGACTGATGCTCAGTCATGTACATGTACCAATAGCTTTTCTAGTCACATGTGTATAATTTGCAGTGAGAACGCCAAACTTTGTTAGGTATGTATTATATTTGATGTGTCTCAGGTATTAAATCATTGTTGCAAGTTTTGTGTTGAATTGTCATTATAAACTAACTGAATTGCAAGTTAAACACCAAACACAACTTAGTAAAGTCAGAACTTTTTTCATCTATGATTCAAACCAGTCAATACCCCATCTAACAAGTCTGAATCATTGTACATTAAGTTTCCCCAAGTCTGTGCAATCATTGGCTGGTCTAGAATAGCTTGTCAGGAGTAATGTCTGGCAATGTGCAGACTTCCTGCACTGTCATGAAATCCTCGCAGTGTGCACAACATGTCAAACAACTTACCAAAACTTCAGTTAGAAGTGTGAATATAGGCTTTAGTTCATTGGATGGTGTGTTGAGATACTGCAACTGAAACAATAAATATATAATGACATCCCACTTCCATGTCCAACCACATCACATGTTGGGCAGACAGATAGTGCATATCATTGCCAACATAATATATTCACATATATATTATCTGTGATATAACAGAATTAATACATTAGACAATTGCTCAAAATCATTACCATTGTTTACTTGACTCAGGGAATATCTACATGAATGTGAAATACTGTATACCTCACTAGCAGACAGTTGCCCCAACAAATCTAATGTTCTCTTAGATGGGACATTTTATGTGCTGGAATTTCTAAGTTACAAGTTTTTATATTAAGCAGAAAATCATAGAAAAAAATAGATTTTGTTGCAATAGCATTCAAATGTATGCAATTAACTGTTGGAAAGTTATCAAGATCTGTATTATTACTATCATTATTGGAATATTAGTAAAAGTGATTACAGCCAATTGCCTTTTTAACTGCATTGATATATGTATTATATTTGCATTGTGTTATGCCCTGCTTAAGCCATGTTTTGAAAGAATTACTGCATTTTCATGTAATAAGTATCTTACAAATATAACACCAGCTTGTTTCCATTCACAATCAACAACACTTTTTCTATTGACAAGAATATTGCTATTGTTCCAAATAATACTATTAAAAATATCAATATCTTGACAATCCTGTACTTCTTTCCAATATTCCAACATTTCTCTGTAAAATAATGGCAGCTTCACCTTCAAACTTGAAGTTTTGTAGTTACAATGTAACAGAAATTTTAAAGAACCTAATGTGACAAATTTCTGTTAAATAAAACAATTTCATGCATCCTTTTTCTGAAAATATCTGTCAACCATAATAACTTAATGGATTTATTCATCAATTCTACATCCAAAGCCTATATACCCCCTTTTTCATATCCCCCTAATAACTTTACTCAGGCAACTTTTTAAGTTTTACTTTTTTCCCAAAAAAATTAAACAACTTTCTTTTCAACAATTTCCCATAAGATTTTTTGACTGATATAGCATTTACTATATGTTTAAATCTAGACATTCGTTCAGCTTTACTGATCAGAGATCTACCATATATAGTCACATTTCTATTAAGCAACTGATCAAATCTTTTTTCCATAACTTTTCATGATTTTCTAAATTATGTTTGTCACTACAAGGATCATTCTGATCAATAATTCTTAAATATTTATATCTTGATATTTTTTTAATATTCAAAAGTGGACTTAAGTACTTATTACAATTAACAGACATATACATAGGGTTTTTTAGATTTAACTTTAACTCGGTATAAAAAGACTGGTTTTCATAAAATTTTAGAATACATCTAACCGACTTTTGAGATTTAACAGTTGCCACCAAATCATCCTCAAAACACTCCTTTGGTTGATTACAGAATATGTGATTTATTACTTCTGCAAACAAAATAAACATGAGTGGAGACAAAGGGCATCCCTGCTTTGTTCCTCTACTATTTACGATTTTTTTTATAGTTCGCCCATTATTAATGACACAACTATTTGTATTTGTAAAGCAAAATCTAACTAACTCTATAAACTGTTTAGAAAAATGAAACATCTCCAGGGTAGCATACACAAAATTATGTTCAATAGAATCAAATGCTTTCTCGAAATCTAAATACATTACATAACATTCTTCTTCCTAAAGTTCTAAAAAATCCATTACAATCTTATATTTTCATGTATAATTCTACCTTCAATGAATCCTGTTTGCGATTCATGTACAAGCTATTCTGATAATGGTTTAACCCTAATTGTCAAGAATTTGGCAAATATCTTATACAGTCATGCCCCGCTTATACGGACTTCAGATATCCGGAAACCTCGGTTCCCGGACGATTTTCATTCAAAACGAAAAATTACTATATAAATTTACCCGTATATCTGGAAATTCAGTTTCCGGAACCGGACGGTCATTTTCATACACAAAACACTGAAATGCACACAAAATTGTCTCACTTATCCGGACAATACACTTCCGCTGGTGGTAATCCTTCCGCTGGTTTGATTCGTGAGAAGTCAATTAACCAAGTGACACTGAGTTACGTTTGAGACGAGCTTGTTTATTGTACACGTAATCCCCTTCGATAAATATGGCGTCTGTGGAGGTCAGAGGTCAAAGTTGTGTAAGTATGGCCTGTCAACCAGCGAAATGTAAGCGACACGCAGTTACAGCACGCGAAAAAAGGGAAATTTGTCTGTTTAAAGAAAAACACACGTCAGCAAGTTTAGAAACCATCAGTAAGCATTATGGCACTGATTTTGGACATACCATAGGAAAATCGACAATTGGTGACAGTTCAAACTTCCATGACAAGACTTTTTGAAACATGTATGAATAAAGATTGAGTAGATGTATCTGTTTGCTCTGTCATGAGTTGCATAATCGAAGGGAAGTAACTCTTCCAGTAAGAAGCTGGTTTCAGTTATACGGAAATTCGTTTATACGGACGAATTGTGAAATGACACAAGTGTCCGTATAAACGAGGCACGACTGTAACTGGTAAAATCCTAGATATTTTTTATATTTGTACACTTATCCTGCATTACTCCTTAATGCATATTAATGCTTGTTTCTTGACAGAGAAAAGAGCTGTGTGAGGGTCTTTGCTTGAAGAAGTTGCTCCAAATAGCTGAGAGGCCAGCCCATCATGCAGCTCCCACGTGACCAAGGGAAGTGACGTCACAGATCCTCACATTACTCTGTAGTCCGAAACATCGGAAGGCATCGTGGGGAGGTAGATCTGCGATGGGCGGGTCCCTTTAGACGCAATAATGCAGGATAAGTATACAAACATAAAAAATATCTAGGATTTTACTACATTTTTTACTTATCCTGCATTACTCCTTAATGCATCTTTATCGGACGGAACCGGAGGTGGGCATACCGTCAGATGTGGACTTTCATCTGTTATTTCCAGACTCTGTTCCCTAGCCAATCCTTGGCTGTGTGGTCGGCCTGGATGACCATTACATGGAAGGGAAGAGTCAGGTATGCGTTGTGTCCTGGAGCACCGAGCCGTATGCAAATGAGGCATGAACCTTCTAGTCCAGGGCTTACGCCAGGGGAGGTAGAAAGGCCAGCTCTGGACTTGGAGGCGTGGTCAATGACATGTAGTAGTGGTGACCTGCTGGGCCACTACTAACGGACAAAAGCTGTGCCTGCCTTGCACATCCTCCAATGCGACGTCTCGCAGGTAGTGACTGGCGAAGACCGTGTTGGATCGCCAGAAACATCCCTCCATGATGGCGCGTAGAGAGCAGTTGCTGTGTAGCGCCATGGTGGAGGGGACCGCCCGGATCTCATGCGGGTTGTTGGAGCGTGGGGGTTCTAATCCCACTGACTCGTAGGCCTGGAGGATGATGGCTCGTAGCCAGAGGGCGATCGTGTATCGGCCGACTTCCGCTTGCCAGGTCGCAGATACCGGTACGAAGAGGCGTCGTCGTTGTCGACATAGACGAAGCTCTAGTTCATCTTCCACGCCCACAATCGATGAAAGGAGGGGGGATGAGGAACGATCTATCGGGCTGGCCTGGGAGCTGATTCTTTGCAATGAAGTCCCAGCACAGGCCCAGATGTAAAGCTCCGTGTGCTCCCTGCTCAAAGCGGACCCGTGTGACGTCTAGGGTGTGTAGCTCACTGACACGGGCTGCTGTGGCGTGCGCCAGTAAGAAGACCGTCTTTTTCGTCAGATTGTAGAATGACGACGTTTGGAGTGGCTCGAAAGGCGCGTCTCTCAGCGAGGTGAGAATGACGTTCAAGTCCCAGGCTGGGGGGAGGAACTTCGCCTTTTGGTCTTCCAGTCTGAATGAGCGGAGCAGTGCCTGTAGTTCCGGGATTTTCATCATGCGTCGATCTTTTGGAACTGCCAGGACGGAGTTGAGCGCCACATGGTAGGTCATGACGGTACTGCCCTTGAGCTTACGCTTGTGACGCAGATGGAGCATAACCTCGGCCAGGAATTGAGGCGATTGCAGATGTGGGGTCTTTGTGCTTGCCCCTGCAAAAGCACTCGAAGGATTGCAACTGGTCATCATGGAGGCTCCTAGTGGTTGGGTGATGTGTCATCGTGATTGCCCTAGCCACTCCAGCCGAGTAGCCCTTGGCATTCAATGCTCTCTGTTAATGGACCAGACGTGAAGACATAACCTGTCTGGTCCTGGGTGTGGCTGTCTGCTGTGTGGGTGGATCCGCAGATTTGACCAATCTCGGAGTGGCAGTGGGTTGACGTCGGACAGCTCTCTGAGGTCGACAAACCAAGCCCTCGCTGGCCACCAGGGCGCGACAAAAGTCAGATCAAGGTTCCCTGTCGATCTGATCTGGACGACTTTGGGAAGGAGTACAGGTGGCGGAAAAGCGTACGCTTTTTGTCCTTCCCAGGGGACGCTGAAAGCGTCGACTGCCCAAGCCAGTGGATCCGGCACTGGAGATATGTAGGGCGGGATCTGGTAGTTCTGGCTGGTGGCGAATAGGTCTATGTTGGGGAGACTGTGGTCTCGACAAACAAGAGCAAAAGGCGTCTGGGTGAAGTTTCCACTCTGTGGGAGGCACTTTGCCTGGCCCAGACAGGGCATCTGATAGGATGTTTCGGCAGCCCGGGATGTGGTGGACCTGGAACTGGATTCCCAGATGATCTAGAAGGCGAAACCTAGGAGTAGTCAGACATCGTGCGCCGGTGTTTCCTGGCCTGCTGTGTTCTGCGTTTTTTACACACACGGAGGTACTGTCTGAAAGCTGTGGGTGAAAGCAGTAAACAGTCTTTACATCGGTGACCCTGGAGGCATTGAGATGTACAATTAAGGCACAGGGGGTGGGGATCCCACGCCGACATATTACACCGGCACTTAGAGCAGGAGGGCATGATTTCTGCAACGAAGCAGTGTAAAATCACACTGCGTCCCCGCACGATTATGTATGCTATAATTTGTTTAACCCACTGTGTGGGTTTATGAAATAAATATTACGACAAACGTAAGACAACATACAAAAA